GAACAGACGCGTATAATACTGTTAATTGTTTCATACATTTAAAAATGTAGGCTAGACACATCAACGGTAAAGATACAAGATTACACGTCATTAATGAATATCTGTACAACGTTAAGAAACAAATTAATGAAATTAGCTCAAACGCGCACGAGTTAGTTCGTCACGGTGACTGGCATTAACATTTTCGTCTAATGAATACTATTTAATACACCACCGATGTTAAATTGTCCTATCACCGTTGCATGTAGATAAGATAATATTTTGGATCCTTTAAACTGGAAAAGTTACAAAGCGAAAAACCTAACTAATACAGATGGAAATGTCCCGGACGATATGTGCAATGTTAGAGCCCATAGCAAAAGAAAACAGAAAAATGAATATTTTTTAGCTTTTCTAAAAATAAGATATAAAACCACGGACATAGTAGGTATAATATAAATTAAATAAAATGCGTAGCCGAAATCGCCGGAAAGTTTTAAAGTTGCCAAGGGACCTATTGAGAGAGAGGCATTTATTCTCAGGGTACCTACAATCATAATTTAAATAGAATAAAGTAACAATAAATACACGACAAGAAAATAAATAAGTAACTAACTTTAAAGGTTATTTGTCTTACTTAATTTTATTTATCTTGACTGGAAATATACGATTGTATTTATTATAAACATTTTATTGAGTAATTTATTATTCACAAATCATATTATTCATATTGACACCGAGCCATTGAATGGATTAATTTGCTTTCGATCTGATCATTCATTTAATTAGAACTGGTTGTTAAAATCGATAAAAGTTAAAGAAAAATATGGCCATCACGTTATCGGTTTATTGAAAGTATAAATGATTATAACGAGGCTAAATTATTGTTGTTGTATTTGAAGTAGGAAATGTCTGGGATAAAGTAATTTATGTACCTAATAATGAAAACTGTATATTACAGGATGGCAAATAACCGCGTAAAAAACTTCGCAGTTTCGACCGGCAGAAACGTACCGTCTATAAGTTACACTGAACTGATACTCACAAGCAAATACCAAGCCTGACTGATACAATTATTATATCAGCGTGCGAATCGTAAACACGTGGAGATTATTTGCTTACGATCGGAGACACGCCCTAATAATGCAGGTGACAAGGTGCCATGCAAATAATGGCAAACGGACGATGTGCATTTGTTTACGAATTACATCATGTGACCCATAGCGACCGTTCTGGCCACTATTTATACGCACTTTCCATTCCCGACTCCGTGACACATATTACTTACTCCAGTGACTAAGGGCGGGCTAAAGATAATTTCCTAAAGCTTAACTCAGCGTTAACTGGAGTTTATGCGCGCATTAACATTTTTATCATAATTTTGATCACACAGTAGACCGCGATCCCGTTAATTAACTACCGTAAACTGAGAGCAATTAAGACGAAAAGAGGTCTCCGCTCTATTGTAGAGCAGTATTGTAATGTTTGTTACATTAATTTGTGAACTCACTTAGAAGCTCTCCAAAGATTCAGTCATGTATGACACAAATAAAGCCCTACCACAAAAAAAATTAAACGCGACCACAAAACAATAAGATGTGGTTCTAAAATAAATATGAACAATAGCTTAACATTATAAATAATAACAATGCCACTGGCGTTCTGTTATGCAATTAGATAAGAGTAAATATGCAATTTAAAAGCATAAAAGTTATTGTTTTAAAGTACCTACCTACTCGTATTTGTATTAATTTATTTTTACTATCAGTGTTCGTATTTAAACGTAAAATATTTGGTTCTATAAAAATTTAGAGTGTGTCATGTGTGAATCAATCAGTTATCAAATAATTCCCAAAGTAAATAGTGGTTAGCATCATATAATTAGGGTAATTAGCAAACAACATAGAGCCATTGATTGTTAAGTAATTTGCGAGACAGTGGAGGTCTTCAATGCGTTAGTATCGCAGAGGAGGTGACTGTCAATAGCAAACCACGTGTTGAGAGCTGTCAACAGCAAACGCTTCAATCATAGGCAGTCCGAAGTGGCAAATGATTGAAGATTCGTTTGCATTAAGTGTCGAAAACATTCCAAATCCATTCGCCAGCGCCAGGCTGGTTTGGTGGTAGCGAAAACTTAAGTTGTAACAAGTGCTGCGGCGCAAACCAATGTTGGATCATACCGTCGCAGTGCCTGCAGCGCTTGGGTTCCGGGGGTGCGAGCTCTTCGCCGAGTTCGCGGTGTCGTACCGGCATGGCGGCGCATCCCGCGCCGGCGCCGCCACCACACCCGTGTGTCAGTTGGACTCGCGCTCCACCTCGACCGCTCCTGTCGCGGCGGCGGCGTCGCGGCTGCCACTGAGCCTGACCGACTGCCGCCCGCCCCGGCCGGTAGGCGGCGCCCATTTCCCGAGCTATTTCGGGCGGCTGTGACTCATGGCTCAAACGGCCAGCGGCGCCCGCGCACCGCAGGCTCTGAGCACTGAAGCCTGCGCGTGAGGTGGAGCACGATTCGCAACTACCCTTTTCTCACCCTTAGATTGTTATCTACTATATAAAAATAAGTCGGGTTTTCCTTCCTGACGCTATAACTCCAGAACGCACGAACCGATTTCCACGGTTTTGCATTCGTTGGAAAGGTCTCGGGCTCCGTGAGGTTTATAGCAAAGAAAATTTAAACCGATAAAACGCTCGATAGCCCAGTTGGATAACTTTCCTGCTCACGCGTAGATTTACATGGCTCGTGCTGATTTTCCAAAGAGTAGAGCAAAACATCGCAAGGGCTAATTTAGGTGATTGGTAAATGAAATCTCCATTTTATTCACCAGCAATTCAGTAGAGCATCAGAAACTAGTCCGAATCAAAATTTATTTCCAGAAAATCAGAGAAAGACGGACGGAGTCCAGAGATGTTACGTTGTGCTGAAAGTACTTGAATTTCTACTGATGCAAGTACAACAAATACATGCAAAGTAACTTTACTCATATTTAGCATTGATATCTATACTAATATTATAAAGCTGAAGAGTTTGTTTGTTTGTTTACTTGAATGCGCTAATCTCAGGAACTACCAATCTGATTTGAAAAATTATTTCAATGTTAGATAGCCCATTTATCGAGGAAGGCTATAGGCTATATACCATCACGCTACGAGTAATAGCTGCAGAGCAAAAATGATTTTCACGCGTACGAAGTCGCGAGCACTGCTAATAACTCTTTATTTTGACATCCTCCAAATAAGTATTTCTATTTCTGATGCTTCAGAATAGGGTCCTAATATGAAACATCATAAGGAAGAAAGCAAATGAAAATGATGAACATGAAAATGACTGTATTTTTACCAAAAATATTCAATTTTGAAGATGGAGCAAATAGCTGACCATCGTTTAGCCAATCTCAAGCTATCTAAGAACTGGCTAAGGTAATATGAGCCACTAGCTTTTGCCCGCGGCTTTACCTGCTTGAAATTAATCTAAATCCATTCAGTAGTTTTTACGTGAAAAAGTAACAAACCTCCAAACATCCATACAAACTTTTGCATTTATAATATTAGTATAGGAAGTAGGATTAATCATGAAAATCATGTTGCATGTATGAAATAGATAAACTTGCCCTCCAGAGAAATATCTTTAATTATAATTTATTGATTAATTTCACAATAGAGTTAGGATTGCCATTATATTGAAGTAAATATTAAGATACTGCCTGTTTACTGAAGTAGTAATTTAACATCAAAAATTGTAAAAACTATGGTCACAATGATTTGATCAGGACCCAGGAGGTTAAAAAATGTGTGTATTTTCACTGTTTTTATAAGTTACTTTTTCTTTTCACATCCATGCCATGTTGTCTAAAGGTAAGGCAAGTCTTACCTACAGAATTTTATGTATTTCTCAGAACTCAATATTTGTATACGTAGTAAACATTTGAAAGTCAGTCAGGTTTGCCATTTTTTACAACGGAGCAAGAACTTCGAACAGTATAATTTATTTATTATTTTATTTTTAGTGTTAAGAGTTGCAGTTCAATTATTTTAAGTTATAAAAGTATATTTTTTTCACTTCTTAATAAGATAAAAGCATTATCAACACTGTGAAATACATTAATTTGAATCATTAGTGGTGATTTTCACCAAAAAATGACCATTTTTAGATATATATTTTGGTTCTTTTGATAATTTTTTTCTAATTGCTTGGCATCACCCAAGGTGCTGAATATGTTTTTCTCGTTTCTTTCTAATTAGGGTATGGATTATTGGGTAATCTGGCTATTGAGGTGTTCTTTCTGGGTTTAGTTTCATCAACAGTCACAAAAAGCATCTTGTTTCGATATTGAATTTTATGATGATCCCGATTACACATCAGAATGAGTTGAAGAGTTAGGTAAGTACTAAAGTTTAGTATTTGCCTAAATCTAACTAAAGATAATATTGTTTGCAAGTATACATTGTGACAGTATTCAATGTTGAATCACAATCTTACTGCTTCAATAATTATGACATGGAATGTTAGACTTATTTTGCCAGGAAAACAAGCCAATGTGATAAGTATAGACATGATGATGTTTGTATCTATGCACAGGCTACAAAAGCCGTCAGTGGGTCTTTTTTTCATGGTAAGCAGTATAGACTTATCTAATCTCTATAACACAAAGTTAGCTAAGAAGTTCAAGATAAAGAAAGTTATCATAAAAATGAATTACCTAAAAGTATAGAAATAAGGGTTTACCTGCATAACCCTCAACAAATGCAGTTCAGAGTTTATCAACATGTTTAATAATAGATATCTTTTTAATGCGTAGTGTCTGGTTACCGCATAAACCGTGACAGTTGAAACCACTCGAGAAATTAATTATCATAGTTAAATTAACGGGCACACATTCACAGGCACATGAAATAATATTAAATTTAACTTCTATCTACACAAAAGAGAGCTGATAAATGTTGTGACATTTCAATTGAAATGTTAAAAGAAACAAAACGAAACAGATTGAAATTTAGAGTGGGCGGCTGCACAAAAAACTTACCTTTGTACACAATAATGTTGGTGTTAAATCGATTCACCAGGTAATCCAACTTCTTTAATTATGTCCAATATTTCACTATAATTCCGTTACACCACGTCACTTCTATAATTGATGCACAAATGTAGAAATAAATAGACGATCTTTGCATACTTTTCTTTCTGCCATTTTGAATTTTGCTTTTTTTTTTTTTTTTTTTTTCTTTATAGGTTTTACGGCTTTGGATACATATCCATACGGCCAATTCTTTCTTGTATTGCACAGTTTGGTGAAACATCTCAGTGTTTGTTTCTATGTTCTTCTGTGCGTTTGTGTCTATTTTGTTCTTTCTAAGTCTTCATTGTGGTCTTCATAGTTCTATTGATGTACTAGTAATGTACTGATAAATATGGAGATATGAATTTTCGTTCGCTAGTAAGGATGGTTGAATTTTGCTCGAGTGAGAAGGATCGGACTTTTTGGCGGGAAGTTGAAAAGGGCGGTCTATTTGTTTTTATTTAATTCGTATTTTATTGTTAGTTTGTGTATATTTTGTAAAAAAATTGTTGTAAATTAGTAATTTAGTGTGATTAGTGTATATATTATATAGGGGTAAGTCCATTTGCATATTTATAAACTATGGAGACGGAACCAGCTCCTGACCCTGATCCTCCCCCAGCCACTCCACAATCTCAGTCCAATCCTTTATTGACCTTAATAGAGGCTGATAATTTCATATCTAACCAACATGTAAAAGAATTTGAGTCATTTAAACTAGTAACAAATAGAAAAACTCAGAAAAAAATTAACAAACATTTATTAAAGACCAAATCCTCTCCTAAAATGCACATTACCACTGCTTTTCAAGAAATTTTAACGCAAGCTCCTCCAGCTCCGGTGATCCAACATTCTCAACAGAATAACCATATAATAGGCAGAAACAATTACCAGGATCAGGATGCAGGTCCTTTTCTGGTACATGTCCAACAAAAAGAAACTCCCAACTCTGGCTCCACTCTTCACCCCATCAAATTTGGGAATTTTCTATTCAGAAATAATTTAAAAAATATTTTGGATGATGGCATTAAACGAATAGGGCGAAATCGATTGGCAGTGACATTCAAAACACCTGGTGCAGCAAACTCATTTTTGTGTAATCCAATTATATTACATGATTATGTTTTATCTATCCCAACATACAATATCACCAAAATGGGCATTGTCAAAGGCATTCCCTGCGAATGGTCGCATGAAGAGATTGTAGGAAATTTAAGAGTTCCTGAAGGCTTTGGTCCAATCATTCGGTCTCGCCGGCTTAGCCGCAAAGTTACATCACTTGAAGGCCCTAAATGGTTGCCTACTCAGACGGTAGTCCTTACATTCGATGGTCAAGCTCTTCCTCCCCGAATTTATTCCTTTTTTTCCTCACTGCCTGTTGACCAGTACATATTCCCAACAATTCAGTGTTTTAACTGTTGTCGTTTTGGACATACCAGGGTTCNTAATATCATTGCACAGATATGGATTAGAGTGGTTGGTTATCCGCCTAGGCACAGACCGCCGATTTTTAGTCGGTCGATAGTTGAGCCCGATTATATTTTGTATGAAGAATCAATCCATGTAATGTGCGCACTTCCATACATGCACAATGCCAATACTGATTAACTGCCCGACTAAACTATCGGCTGACAAAAAGCCTCTGCGCCTTATAGTGAACCTTGAAAGGTTTAGGTTAATCTTCAAGGATTTTAAAATACCGAAAGCTGTTCGGAATTTATGTTTGAGGACTTGTGAACAAAAACTACAATAAAAATGAAAGTAAATAAAAGCTTGTAATAAAACCAAAATATTGTATTCTTCTATTTTTATTAAAAAGCTATAATCATCATTATTCCATTTAAAGTATGTTTTAATGCATATTAATATGTAAAAATATTTGAATACAAGAATAAGTTATGTAGTAGTAGTTCAAATTGTTTTGATTAAAATAGATAACACGCTACTTCTGCAAAGGCGAATCATTGAAATCCCATGATAAAGGCATAACGCATAACTGAGTAGGTTCCTACAACAGGACTATTCCCACCTCTCGTTCCCACCACTGGAACTCCTGTGTAGCCAGGATCTACAGCTTGACTGCCAATAAAAACTCAACCAGTGAAGGTCAAGTTTGTCCCGGTTCTACAGTAGTAGTTGTAGGTTCCTACAGTAGTGGAGCAGTGCAAGAGTGACACGTGACGTATTAGAGAGCTGGCCCTAAATCTCGCAGCATTTGACATAAAAAACAAACACACACTCCTCCCATACTATTCCACTACTGCTGGAACCTACTCATATGTGCGTTGTCTGTAACATGAATAACATTAAAACTTTTTAAATACATTTGAATTGGAAAATTTGTGACTGTCGGCCTATTACGACATGTGTATACAAAATATATTACATAGCTAACTATTTATTTTTCATGATAATAGTATGCAGTATTGAATTGATTTGATTTGATACTATGCGAGTTAGGTAGTTGCAAATTAGGCATTCAATACTTACATATTTTTATGCATTAGTGTAATAAAAATAAAATCTAGCGACATAACAATATTTAATAACATTATACTACAAAACAAAGGCATATTTTCTATAAATAAATTCTATGATTATACTGGCCGAGACAATTAAAAATATTCCTTTGGGCCTGTATTAAACTAAATCACTGTAAATGCATTGCACGGTGCTTATCAGCTAAAAGTATTACGCTGATTGAAGCCACGTACTGATGTGAATCTTCAGTTTATATCATACATAAACAGCCGCTTTTGGTTTGGTAAGTTACATCTAAAACGACATGCAATCATTATGGAATAGGGCTCAAAATTACAGTCATTTAGATCTATATCCATAATTATATTCAGTGACCCTACCTTTTCCATTTACCAAAAGTTATCATAAAATCTCTCAATTTCGAATCGAGCCCATATTTCCAATACTTTTCCAAACAAGTTTATACCCAGCACATTTGCTCGTTTCAATTACGTGGTGGATAAACACATACTAAATTAAACAAAATTTAACATTCTAAAATAATAATTAATAGGCGGGCGGGCACGGAAAATGTTAATTAATAAAATTTGATGGTACATTATTACTACTTAATATTATGAGAATTTTCTAATTTCAATTTGTCATCTTATAGAATAAAGGAGATATTTCATTTTTGTATGATGCTCTAGCCATTTCTACATTATCTTGAGAAGGAGAAATCTTTTACAGTACGCTAATGAGATATTTCTTTACTTTAAATGAGTATAGTTGTAATCGGGCCTTTAGGCCCGAAACGATCAGACCGAAAATGAAACATCTCTTTTACATGAAGAAAACTATGATTTTAAGAGATTACAGCGATTCTATAATTGTATTTTTTTTTACTATCTCAAGTTTGAAAATATATAAATATGTACATAATATTTTTTGTTGCTGATCTAGCCTATGCCCGCGGCTCCGCACGCGTTTATTTTAACACGAAATATTTTAGAGTTAAAAACATAACATAGTAAATACATCCATGAAACTAGGTAAGAGTGTATATTTCATTTAACTCAGAAGTTACAGAAGTTTCTCTTTCAACATATTATTTACAATCAAACAATCAGTACTCATTCCATCTTGTAACAGATTTCAAACCTACACACAAAATATTTTGACTAGATGTTGCATGGAAATTGCAATTAGGCAAAATGACAACTGAGATATACGATACTACGAAAAGCCGTACCCTCCACTTTGAATAAATCCTGTATTTATCTAGTATGCGCAAGGCTTAAAATTGTCATATTGACGTTTCGTTTTACGCATAAAATATTTCGTTTAAGAAACGATAGCCATGAGTATTCTATCTTATGTGTCCCAAAAAGTAGATAATTAAGCATTACAGTGGAGGAGGTAGGCCTTTCGTTCACACGATTAATTAAAAAGCGATAAATACATTGTTGAGATGCGTGGAATAAATCTTAGCAGGGATCTTTAAATATTTTGTTCAAAGGATTTAAATCGCCCTTTAAATCTATCGATTTCAAGGACGAGTCAATCTTTTGTACAGATTTACTTAAAAATCACTCGAGTAAATATATTTTGAAGAACGTGCGAGCCGCCGGTAGCTCCAGACAATTAATTTCCTATTTAGTCTGCTTACACGCATGTCGAAGTATTAAAATGGCAAGTGTGATCCATTCTAGAGTAAAAGACCTACTGAAGAATCCAACTAAAAATCAAATTACATAGTTGTATAATATTTCGATTTCATTTCAATTAATTCTAAAAGCAACGGTGTTAGTTCTGAGGGGCCAAATACTTATTGAAACTGTCCATCTGCTATTTTAAGTCCTCAGAATTAACAACGTTGTGTTTTGCAACAACACAAATAAATTTAATTCAATAAATACATTAATATTAAATGTCTAGATAGCACATTGAATCTATACATTATTACACACATATTTTTGGTTACACTAGTTATGAACTTCCGTCGCATTATTTTTGTGTTCGCCGTTTAAGGTACCGTTTTGCTTGACGTGGTCTTTCTGTATGGTTTTCATAATGTTTACCTCTTTTTGTTCTTTGCGGGAGTTCCGAAGTTCAAATTCAAGTCTGTGGCGGATTATTCGTTGAACTATGTCATCTGTGGTCATGGTGTTGCCAGAGTTTAAGATCTGAAAATAAAATTTTGCAATGCTATAAAAATCTTTTGATTGCTGCTGGTATTCAAGGGTTAAAAGTATAGTTAAGTTTGGACACGCACATGTAGTCCACGATTATTATTCTTTTCACAAAATGTTATTTATGTATTTTCGTAAGTCTCATCTGATTCGTTTCACATTTGGTTTGTTCATACGTTGCATTATTTGGCGCTTTCTTATCAATCCAAAATTACATAAATAACCATACCTCTTTTATCAATGCCATAAGGATGTAAATATGTTCTTTTATCAATACGATAAAACATTATAGATATACTTATATCAACGTCGCATGTTATGATTACTTGATAACGGTTCAATTACGATATCAGTAGTAGAAGTAAGTACAGTAAATGCTCCCCCATACATTGTTAGTGCGAATATTCGTCCGATGAGTAATTAATAGCGTGTCACGCAATGACCAACGTAATCAAAACATTGTTTTCTAAAAGCGCACGTGTTTGATACGAATTTATTTATACACGAGTCGTAATTGCGATATATTTGACGCATTATACAAGTATAGTTCGTATCTAAACACGTTTCATAACTCGTTTTTTAGAAGAGGATCTCAATTTGACTGTTTGCAATTATTAAATTTAATGTAAATTTTTGCATTTTGAACAAGTTTAATTTACTCATCATTCTACGAAAACAAACACATGAAATAAGCCGAATTTATTGCGTAAGACGAACAGAGCATATCTGCATGATATTTAATGTGATAATTATTTTATAAATAAAAAAAATAATAGGGTAATAAAAAATAATAATAAATAGGTATTATTCACATTTAAAAAATGAATGTAGGTTGACCATCAAAGAAGTTAATTTGACAAGTTTTCAGTTTGAAAGCATTCAGAATCTTTCTTTCTCATCCGAAAGACGTTCATTACCTACTGTATAAGAGCCCCCCAGGATTTCCACAAAACCACAAATCATATTGAGAAAAGAGTTACCCCAGAGATGAGAAGTGACTGAGATAAAATTAAAAGTTAAGCGTCAAATAGTTAATGACATCGAAAGTAGCCAAAAAGTTCGCACTACATAAGATTGTGTTGTCAACTTTTTGTCAACATTGGGTACTTATTAAGGACTATTTGACGCTACTATTTAAAAACCAATAGAGAAAGAGGAGGGGGACAGCAAGAAATGGAGATGGAAAAAGAGATAGTTATGCATATTGTAATAACTGTGGGAAATGGGAGTTCTCCAATGAATAACACAGGAGTAAATGTAATAACTGGTTGTATTTCTCTCACTAGAATAATTACACGTCTTAAACTATAATAGTGACAACCATGGACCTGTAAAAAAAGTCGGACGGATTCTCATCAACAAAATACTGTGACATTAGGATACACCAGCTTGCCTGTACGTACAGGCCGGCACGCACACATTCACACCCTGACGCACCACTTCGAGTCCAAACTTCACACAGTTGACACATTTAGACGGCGAAAAAACAACACGAATACGACATGTCTTGTGTGATGAAATTGTGTAAAAACCGTTCTGTTCGAAGAAACAAAAATTAAGGAATCACATTTCACAGGTAAAATAATAATCCAATCACTTATTTCCCGACATTTAAATATTGAAATCAATTGAAATCAAACGTCATTCACTCGAAAAAATAATACGTCAAAGACCAGTGTTTTCAGTTATTTACGTGGGAAAATTACCCGAAATATGGGAAATTAATAATAATTTTAGGACTTTTTAGTTATTTATTACGCATACTATAGAAATAAAATAATTTATCATAATAATTGTGTTTTAATGGGATATATTTTCATAGGCAGATTTGATCCTTCCCAAAAATGTGGAACTGCGAAATTCAAATTTTCTGACATTGATTGCAAGTCAGTGTCAGGTTGTATGTTAAAATCTATCAGAGATAATAATAATTATGTTGATGATGTACACAAGATTCGTAATTTGTAACTGCGTGAATCATTTTTGATCAACATTCATACCCTGACACTGATTTGCAAACAATGTAAGAAAATTTGAACATTGAAAATTTCGCGCCTGCCTCAACGCATTCACCTTTCATCCTTTTCAAATTCTGTCTACATTTCCAAGTAACATCTGCCGATCTATGTTTTTCTTAAAATAAATGGGTAAAATGTTTTGGCTAACATGGCATCCCTAAATTCACTCACACAATAGACAGACGTCAAAATTTTGCGTCACAGTTTTGTTGTAGCGCGAGTTCCGTCCGCCTTTTTTTATAGGTCCATGGTGACAACTGGTTCGTCTTCCGTCTTACGTCTTTCGTCTTACGTCGTCCACAACACACTCTCTGCTTAGCAACAGACTTCTCTTTTTTTAAACATTTAAACCACTATTCCTCGTTCCTCATTCTTCACTTCCGTTTCCTTCAGCATTCAAATCATAAACTATCTTTCATCCGTCATCCCACTGTTCCGTTATACACCAAACTCGTTAATCCTACATAACCGTACCTTAAAGCACCCCCGTTGCTTTGGCACCTTGTATGGGTCGACGCCGCTTGCACCGGGCGCGATGGCGGTGAGCCCGTGGCAGACCAGCTTCACGCGGAAATGGTCCATCAGCTCTACCGTCACGTCGTAGGGCGCTCCGATCACCACCTCGTGCACGTACTGGAATTTGAACATTAAGATGTATGTTATAGGGTCTATTTTTATTTAAAATAGATAAAGTAATAAATAAATTGATCCAGTGAGAGCTATCGTTTCTGTGCTCAACAGTTAGCACCACTATCTTAGCGAGTGATATGACTTTTCTCTACAGAGGTCCACACCAACGAGGGCTATCGTTTTAGCGCTCACCAGTTAGCGCGTAGAGTAAGGTCCTGTCACTTGCTAGCAGCGAAGACAGTGGCACCAACTGGTGAGAGCTAAAGTGGTAGGAGGACTATCGCATTTGCACTCATCAAGATGGCGCCACTGTAGAGTAAGGTCCTGTCAATCGCCAGGGGTGCCAACTGTTAAGTATAAAAACGATAGCCCTCATTAACTAGCCCCAAACTAACAAAACTCTTCAACTGCTTTTAACTTTAAACCAATGACTTAAGAAAGTTCAATGTGCGTTGGGAAAATTCGTCCTTTTATGTTAGGTTGACGCACTATTGATTGATAAGGCGTCTAGAACTAGATAACCGATAGTTGGTAAAAGAACCCGCATTTGCTGCTCATGTTTATGTTTAACTCGCTAAAAAATTCAAATAAAAAATTGTATCAAACGATGTAAAGACTTAAATCAACGTTTAATTCGAAGCCGATTGACAGAATGTGACATTTCCGAGAAAATGCATCGGCATGCGTGTGTTCCGGCCATTGCGGGTGCTTGTGTTACCTACTTTCTATACCAACTATTAAAAACCCGTGGGACACGATCTGTCCCATGTAAATATATGAACGCGTCATACCTTATTAGATTATGGAGGTATCTGATTTACTTATAGTTCTTATACTTCTATTGAGAAACTACGTGTGCGTGAAGTTCAAAACTTTGTTAATGTGAAAGGGTAAAGTTTTATTAAAAACTAGAATACTGTATGCCTAAAATGCGCGCCGCGATAAGCTTATCGCGCAAAATTAACGATTTTTTTGTCACATTTGTCGTCTCCAATTATTTCACGGCGTGCATCATAGCTAAGCTGGACTGTAAATGCTTCGTACAAAAACTCTATGAAGCTGAAATTAGGCGATTCTCTTTGAATCGAATGGTCGATGTGAAATATTTACCCTCGGTAGGTACTGCACAGATTTTACATAAAAGAGAAACAACATCCATCCTCTCATCTGACCTAGTAATTTAGTAATATTGAATTACCTTGCAAGCCAGCACCGACAGCACCCGTTCATGGAGGTTCATAATTGGGTAGTTGGAGCCCTTGTACCGGTTGACTTCGAGATCGGTGTGGAGCCCCACGATCAGGAAGTCTCCCTGCTTGTGCGCCTGCTCCAGGAAATCCAAGTGTCCCACGTGGAATAGATCGAACGCGCCCGCTACGTACACCACCTGTAGATTGACAGTGGTCAATGGAAGCAGGAAGAATAGACCTTAAAGTGCTCACTATAAGTTCCATTTCTAAGGCTAAAGGCACCTTTAATTTAGACGCGTGAGTAGCGCTGCAGTGGCGACACTAATAATTTTCAATTTCATACAATTTCTAGAAATGTAATGGCCGCATGTCTTTTTCACGGTGTCACTTAGGTAGTAGCGCTGCAACTGCGCTTCTAAAAATTATGTGAAAACTATTACAGTGTTGCCACCGCAGCGCTTCCTCACGTCTAAATTGAAGGCGCCCTAAGTAGTCAGAGGTTTCGATAACCCTAGACTTTTAGCAGTGGTTTTCACACGTGCGACACACACGTTGACTCAAGATACCGTCACACATTGTTGAAAAAGCCTTCTGCCCGTTTTCACCACCAATTCATAATTTTTAAGGGACCCCTATGGTAATACAGAATTATGTTTTCATAGGGGTCACTTAAAAATTGGGGATTGATGGTAAAAACGGGCATTGGTTTATTATAAGAGGTTAAATGCAGTTTGAAAATTATAAATAACTTGAAAAAATCGAACTGCCTAGGGCGGGAATTTAACCCACGACCTTGAACCTTAAATGCAGTTGNCTACAACCAATAACCTTTTTATTAACCAGCTAACAAATAACCTCAAGATTAAAATCATTTTCACTATGTGAGAATAACCAACAATAATGACTGGTACACAAGAATACCCTTTAAGTTAAATGTACCACATTCTATATCTTTTATGTAATATCGTAATTGGATAAATTTTGATCACCCACACTAATTTTAAATTTTAGTGATACAACCCAATTCACTACTGGCAGCAGAAATTAATTGATAAGTTGGAAAAGTTCAATAATAACATTACTCAAAATATAGCATCATGTAACATAATAATAATAATAATGTTTCCCAATAATTGAAGTATCAATCACTATAAGAGTACCAAAAATACACCACATGTTCAACGGCATAACTGGCTGCCTTACTTAATTTCAATTTACAAATTAAGCTAATTAATAGATTTTATCTCATCTTATAGTGCTCAACATCAAGAAAGAAACATCATGATACTAAAACTGGTTTACACAACACAGACCTTAGCTTCAATTTACCTGAATAAAACTAATTATTCATTCTTCTCTCAAATAATGCCAAGAAGTTACTCCGGCATGATTACCAAACTTATTTAATTAATCTGACCATATTCTTTATAGATTTAAAATCTCAACAGGTTATTCTTTGCAGAATGTAAACATGAACAAATGAACACCGTTCAATTTAATTTACTTTACTAAAATAGTTTATTAGGCATTGCAATTAAAGTGAGCACATACCATAGCTTTCACACACATTCCTGGCATTATCAGTAAAGACTGACAATACCTATAACATTTGATGCATCATTCACTTCCATGCATTATTTTGCTCAAAAAGGAAATGTGTTAATATTGTTGCTGTTGGAATAATCAAACCAGCGATAAATTGTGGTTTTGGATGGGGCTTCATTACCAAATGCAGAAATCATCCGGTCAACACACTGTTTTTGTGTTAAACCACTTCAAAAGTCATAATAAATCATCGCTCTTGAATTTTCTCGAGTCAATTCCATTTTCTCAACGACTAAACAAGTTTGACAAGACCTTGTGATACGACCGAGAATCTTTTTTTAAATAAATAAATGGTATACGATTTTTAAAACCCTGGAGTTTGCAATTAAATAGATTTTAATATGACTGGAACAGTGGAAATATTCCATTCCCGATACTTTTAGTGCAGCCCTCGTAACACAAACTCTATCAAATTGTCTTTTATTACCTTTTAAATTACTATTGGCACAGAATAAATACTAGCACTGTTGTAGGTCAAAATAATTGCCGTACGCCATGAAAAGGTATAATTACACCTACACTGAAAAACCAATACCCTCTGAAGAGCTCTGTAAATAAATTACAAATTGTTTTATCCATTTATCCGCATGATTCACGATTTTAATCGTCAGAAGGAATTACATTCACTGCTTTGTATTGAAATCAAATAAGCGTATCAATAGATTGCTGACATACAGCGTGGGAACTGAAGAGGCATTCTGTTGTAATCAAAAGATAATAATGTGTATATTTTTATACTGAACATAATGTAATGAGATTTAAACACGAAGAATGAACATGAAGAATGAAAGTGTTAGCGAAAATAAAATTAGAATCTATTTCTTTGCATTTTGTAGCTAAGTACTACGGCAAGCCCATTTCAAATTGAGGATGACAAGTAGGTATTACGCTGACTTTGGCGTTTTCGATGCTAAATCAATAAATTGTTATTTTATTTATGCTATAACTAGCTTTTGCCCGTGGCTTCACCCACGTGAAATTTAGTTTGTCACAGATCGTCATAAATTATATTCTGGGCTATAAACAATAAAACTGTAAAGTTTCATCAAAATCCGTTCATTAGTTTTTGAGTGAAAGAGTATTACAAACATCCAGACATCCATATAAACTTTCGAATTTATAATATTAGTAGGATTATAGTTTTATAGATTTTAACATTATGATCGTCAAAATTGTCTTAGTAATAAGCAAAGTATTGATAATATCAAGTTTATCACAAAAAATGCTTACAGAGGTCATCATACTTGTAAAAACTATAAATTAATTTACGCGCAATTAGTTTTAAATCAAATGTACTGTTACGATAATAAATACTTATGTAGATAGAAATCGGTTTAGCAAGTATAATATATTTTAAATAAATAAACGGACTAACTACGTTTTTGCATTAGTATAGAGTCAGCCAGGAACATTAGCAGGTTTAGGTAATGTTTGTCTAGAATCCTACTAATATTATAAATGCAAAAGTTTGTATGGATGTCTGGATGTTTGTTACTCTTTCACGCAAAAACTACTGAACGGATTGTGATGAAACTTTACAGTATTAATGTTTATTACCCAGAATAACATTATAGGCTTTAATTTATGACGATCTGAGACAAACTAAATTTCACGCGGGTGAAGCCGCGGGAAAAAGCTAGTACCTAATAATCGTAGACATAAAAGAAATAATAAGATTTCGGTATTTAATAAATTTGCATAACAGATTCAATAATAAACGAGTTTTTGATGTAAAACGTAGGCACTCATTTTAGATTCAAATAATGACGGTAAAATGAGTTCGTATTAAAAAAATAATGGGGTAATAGGTGCAGGCAATAATAATTCTAACAAATAGGTAGGTATACTTATTAAGTACGGTCATGGCCGCTGTATTAAATACTACTTATAGCCTGACCAGGAACATAAAAACCCTCGCCATGTTGCGGAAAACTAATGGTACTAATTTCTTTTAATGGCAACAGTAACTGAAAACTTCATTATAATGTCACCTTGCATGTCAGTTTATTGCTGTCGGGTAAATCCGCGAAACAGTAAAAAACTTATGTTCCGATCGATTAAAAAAAAACTGTTGTAGTTCTGGTAAATTAAACTTCTGAATAACGATTCATACAAGTTTCCACATAAGGCGCCATGATCCATATTGATTAAATACTTCAAGTTATTTCGATAATCAAGAAAACACGCACTAAACGTCATTACCATCACAGTAAAAATACTGACCTTTGCCGTTGTCTTTTAATTTTTTTTACTTTACCTATACACAGACCAGATTTTGATTATAAATTTAAAATGTACATATTTACCGTGACAAAATAACAAAATTATATTGAAATCGTATTAGCCAATAAAATGGAATCATGAATTGAAATATTGTCACGAGAAATCGTCATAGCCATCGCGGCAGCATCAAAGGTTCTTTAATGTGGCCGCGACGCGACTTATCCCCGCTTGTGTCCGCGCGTCCCACTCTTCAATTCGTTGCTCGTAACAGAACAGAATGCACGTAAAATTTACGCAGCTCCGAGACTTTTTAAACTCCGAAAACGAGAGACACTCGCAGTTTGTCATCGGCTCGCGTCATTCCCATTTTGTGCGATTTTTTTTCAAGTTATTTATAATTTTCAAATTAGTTTGAGATGCGACTCTTAACGCTAAAAATTAAATAACTATATAATGTGTCATAATTTATAAATAAAACAATTTGCTAAATATTTTCATGGCTTTATTTAAGATTTGGATTATAAAAAATATATGTTTATGTAAGCAACTACTCGTATAGATTGACGAATCGTATGATTGGGCTTTATACGTGGCGTAATTTTGCACATACGCCTATTTGCCTAAAATTTTATTTTGTATCTAATGGAAAAAAAAATTTTTTTTCTTACTGATGTTATAGATTAGAGCAAAGTGAAATCATTGCTTAAATAATTGGAAAAAGGCGTAAGCGGCAGTTTCGCCCTTATACGTAGGAGCCATCGATGTGGGTTTTTACCCGGGTGGAAACCCATCTCTAGTCGTGATACCGTTTGAAGTAGGTCAAAAGTAATTTAATCGAGTTGTCGCAGGGGCAAGTTGTCGGAGGGTTCAAGTGGTCGTAGGGTTCAGCTGTCGTAGGGTCCAGCAGTCGTGAAACCATTTGAAGTAAGTCAAAAGTGTTGAGTGTTGAAAAAAATCAAGTTGTCGCAGGGTTTGAGTTGTCGCAGGGGTCGAGTTGTCACAGGAGTCGAATTGTCCCGGGGTCAAGCTGTCGTGATACCAATTGAAGTTGGTCAAAAGTGATTTTGTATGTATTTTTTCAGGGTTGCTTATGGATTTTTANTTGCAGTTGAATATTCAAGTTCTGAATTTTATTATTGATGAATAATAAAATAAATCCTACTAGCTCGATTGATGGTTTCATTTAATTTATTTAAACCAGGTTACCTATAATAATATTTTTTCGTTAATTTATGAAAATATCAAATAAGCCGGTAATTCTGAATCCTGATACATAAAGTTAGCCTATTAATTTAACACAGGTACGACTGTACTCAGTGTTGCACTATCAAATGCAATTGACGCGCCTCTATGCCAGGGTTTTTATGTTCCTGGTCAGGCTATACTACATATCATGTGGCTTAAGGTCAAAGCATATTTAATGTCTAAAAATAAACAACAACATGCGCACAATATTACCTTTGGTGTTTTTGTCTACATAGTTGTGTTTATGTTCACAGTAATAATATACCACAACAAAACAACAATAGGAAAACGGATAATAAATCGCGGATTCAATTTACCTAGCTGTATTTTAGTTATGTATTTATAGATTTATGATTAAGGGCATCATTTTTTTCCTAAAAGAAATAATGTTCAAAAAATTTTGTAATCTATCTATACTAATATTATAAATGCGAAAGTAACTCCGTCTGTCTGTTTGTCTTGCTTTTACGCCTAAACCATTGAACCGATTTTGATGAAATTTGGCATAGAGATAGTTTGAGTCCCGGGAAAGGCCATAGGATAGTTTTAATCCCGGTTTTTTAATCAGGGACGCGCGTGATAAAGTTTTTCTGTGACAGACAAAATTCCACGCGGGCGGAAAGCTAGTATTTAATAAAACTACACATAACACTAACAAGGAAAATAGAAGCACCTAATGTNAAAAAATAAAAAAAAAAATAACTAGTTCTATCAATATCAATAATCATTATATGATTCTCTGCACTTTCAAAAATCAATAAATGCATGAAAATGATGAATCATCGAACTTGTATAACTTGGTTCAGAGCGGTCCTACAACTTTTATGCCATATTAACTATTGCTCCAAATAGCTAGTTCTAATAATACGCATCATTTTTTTTTTGTTGGCCGGCACTTTCAAAAAAGGCCCAAAAATGTATGAAGCCTGAATGATCTCCTTTCACACTGGGTATGACTATCACATTAGCATACACTTGCATCGTGTTTATGTTTTTTAGAATCTCAAAATGAATTCCTAGTTAATAAAACACTTACCTACTAATGCTACAGGCGTTAAATTAATAGCAAAGTAATATTACGTCAGACGTATTTCTTTTATAAAAATATTTTTTTAATTATTAGATTTTAGTCGAAGTACTGCAGCTTACTCGTAATTCATAATCGTCATCACTGAGAGATAATAAATGCATTTCCATAATATTTTTATTGACGTAACATACCTACTTGTAAATAATATGTTATTTAGCTAAGGTGTGAAGTTCACATATTCATAAATATGCATGTAAATCCATTGTAATTTATTTGGGAATTCTTGGAGTCATGTCAATGCGTACAAACATGGTAGGTATTCGTATAATAATATTACCTACAAATTAATAAGCGTACACGATCGCAGGACTGCTTACTGATAGTCAATAATAATTTAAAAATACTGCCATTATTAGATGCTTTGGCCGTACTAACTAATTAAAGGGCAATAATTTATTGAAGGCAGACGGTACTTTTACATTTTGTGTAGGACGTTATTAATTAGTACGGAGGTCCTTAATAGCCGAAGAATTTACTTCGCGCACCTGACAAACTCTGGCAGTGGCTAGGAAAAATACATAGGTAAATGTCCGTAAGTATCTGGTTTCAAAATTAATGAATGTTGCAACCAGTGGCTATCCCATACACAATAGGATAGCGCATTTTCTTACATAACTTTTCAATTCCTATCATTGGAGGTCCGAAAATATTTCTCATACAATTTGATACCATAATGATCATTCTTCATAAAAAATTTAAAACCTACATATTTAAAAACATAATCATTGATATTCATAATATCACTAATCATACACTTAGTTTTTACTAATATTTGTTTTCATATATTTTTCTATACTAATGATCGAAACTCATAATCATTCGAATAAATAACTGTAATATTCATAAATGTGAGTTATCCTAATATTTGTTTTCATAAATTTATTACTCATAAGTGTATTTATCCATATTATTGAAAATCATGATTCTATATTCGTATTAAATCGTATTTTAACATTAAATTAATTTGAAATGGTCCAAAACAGGCAATATTTTGTGCCACAAAACTAACGTGACAGAAACGAATCGCTGCAAAACCGACTCCACGTAGTCTTGTCTGCCCTACCCCTAGAGTGTAATTTAAAAGCCGGAGGCGCGGAGGGAGGGCAGCCCTCGCCCGCTGTAACGAGGCTCAGGCGCCCGGGTGAGCTGGAGCGGCTGAGGCTGGTCGCCGAGGCGCCGAAGGCGCCGATGGCGATCCAAAAAGCCGAAGCTGCGGAAGCAAGCGTGGGTGCCTGAGCCTCGTTACGCAAGGGCGGAAGGGCTGCACATCCCGCAGCGCCGGAGACGAGGAGATACCAATGCATGCTGCATGCTTGCTTTCATGCTGCATGCTCTGCATGCTTATCTACTCTATTAAATTATATATGATTTTTTTAAAGATACCAGTATGTCGGTTATAAAGTAAATTATTCTGAACAACAACATTATGAGTTGAAGAATGTTCTTAGTAACAACATTATTAATTAAAACAATATGATCAATGAATGTTATGAAGAAAAAAGATCTGAAAATAAAAATTATGTATTTTAAATGGTTCTTGGTAGTAACAGTATTGATAAAAAAATTATGATTACTAACTGTTATGAGCTCCGATGGTAGTAATAAAAATGTATGAATAAAAAAAGTATGAAAAATAAAATTATGAAGAGAGATTATTATGAACACAAATCGGTAGTAAAACAAAGAATAGGATTTAGAATTTTATGTGAGCCAATATAGAACCACACAATAGACTATCAATATCTACTCGTAGCGGCCGACCGCTTATCTCGATCGATTGTGCAGTAGGAAGTTCGTATTGTAATACAATCCATTCACATTTCTATTGAAGGTTTGAAAAAACAGGAACAGTATTAAGGTCATGAACGTGTCTGGTTGCCTGTCTGTCACAGGCAATTTCGTCAGACATACTTCATGAACAAACTTGAAAAGTTTGATTTCATTTTTATAAATATTTATGTACACTAATAATCTAGTAAACATTTGAATGTAATTAATAATTTACATAATAACGCGACAAAAATAAACAAGATCCTATGCTAGCAACTTGTCTCAATATTTATGGCATTTAATACTCTATTAAACTGTACAAATAATGTGAAATGCATTTTGGTTCATGTGATGTTACAATACAAATTTTGTAAACATACCTTATCTGTAGGTTTCGGCGACAAGCCGCTGCTGAACTGAATGATCTTCTGTGTTGTGGGCAGGAACTGAGAGCATCCCGTATAGGGCGACCGCGCCGTCGAGTCTGTCCCAAGGTTGTTGGAGTGTTCAAGCGCCACTGAGTATTCTTTGTCACCTCTCCTGGAAACGACAAATGCCTTAAGTGCAGTTAAAAAGATAATGATTGTCACGAGATTACATAAAGGCCTTCTAATGATATCAATGAACGTACAAGGTCTTTATTAATTAGTGACACTAGCAAAATAAAATAAATCTCATTACCAATACTACTTCTAATGAATAGAACTTAAATAGTTTATCCAATTAACAATATACAAACAAACAATCATCATTATGTGTCTGATAAATTTGGAATGATTAAAATGGGCAAGATGATAACATAATGTCTAACACAAATAAACACATTCATTTATTAATGATCAGATAAACAAAAACATAGTATGTACCACAAATTAGATGTTGATTAAACTTGTGAGTTATGGAGAACATGAGCAATATAAATTGCAAGATGTTATATTTTCAATACATAATCATAAGTGTATTTTATTAACACTTTACCAGTTCATTACGTTTCTATTGTTTCTGGACGTTGGATGATGATTTGCTTGTGCACTGTTTGATGTTAAAAATGACTAGCATTAACATAAAAAATTTCAATAATGTTGAAAGTACTTTTCTAATTTACTGAACAATAGTCTAGTCATGTAAAATCAAAGACTGCATGTTATCCATTGAAACCAAATATGTAAATAATGTTTAACAAATGAAATATTACTTGAAATGTTCTCTTGTGAGAAGCAGCATTCGACCAACCAAGTCTGTCGTAGAAACGCCTGCTGTCCTTAGCACCTCTCTGAAAATTTATGTAAATTGTATTGATGTGATTTCACTCATTCATGTTAAATAGAGTATAAACCCAATGAATAATTTACCTGTATCTTCCAGCTTTCTTAACCAAATGATATGTGTCAATTCCATCAGCTGTGACTGTGATATCATCTGAAACCAATCATTTGGAAGTGAGTTTTAAATTCGAATTTTGGTTTTATATGAGAAACTCATTAAAAATGATTGTTTACCTCCATGTACACAGAAATCACACTGATATTTGTCTAATGTTTCTAAAGTAGTGACATAGGGTGCTCCTTCTACGACCTGGTCAACCCATTTGATTGCTTTGACCATTTTGTATCGTTCTTCTTGTGTGAACACTGGTGGGCCTTTGTGCTTCGCAATCTCTTCATCAGTGTGGACTCCTACTATCAATACATCTCCTAATGCTTTAGCTTGCCTGAGTGAGTTTGCATGTCCAAAATGGACCATGTCATAGCTGAAATAATAAATAAGCAAATTATAATAGAAGCTTAGTAGTCTTAGTATGAAAACTTAATACTTTATTTAGAATTAATCGAGAATTAACGATTAGAGTTTAATTTATTTATGATTTGTTTGATTGCATTCAACTATTTTTAAACTAAGAGAGTGAAATTTTGTCCTTATAGAAAATTGGTAGAAATAACCATTGTTTACTGAAATGAGTAAATTAAGAAATATCGCAACAGTTAGAAGAAATATCGTAGTTTATGTTCCTGCACCACAGTAGGCGTGTACTAAAATAAAACCTTGATACGCCGGATGTTTTATGTTATTAGTTTTTCCCTACGTAGTCATTCGATTGTATGCACTTTATCGATTATAGTAATATACGATCATGTACTCTTATGGCATTACCCACAACAGCTTTGAAATAGAAGGGCTAGCCAATAATTCAGAATAGAATAAAATCATTACGCACCATCCATCACACCACACACGAATTTGCTTCTTTTCTTCGTTTTTGCCATCCATATTGTAGGAAATAGATTTAAAAATATACCAGGTTCAATGTTTCAAACTTTCATAAAAACGAAATTGTATAATTAAATTAATAAATCGAAAATACACGAACACGCAGTCCACAACTCTTCCGAAACAGTTTCACTAAAAGACTGACATCTGTCAAATGATTAGGGCCGTACCGTGCCGGCGCATGACGTCAGTTGACGTCAAACGAAATCGCGTCAAATTCGAATCCACTGACGAACACTTTTTTTGATAAAATACCAAGTATTTGCATAAAATATGCAGGTATAATATTAATAGTTATTTATGCTTGCGATTATAATAAAATAGCAGCCCACAATACAATTAAAATAAGAACGTTAGTAGAAAATGAAAATATGACCACCTTTTTGTTCAGTGTACACTGTAAGTACAGCATGTAGTATTTCTGGAGTATTTTATGCAAATAAATAAGTTATTGTCCTTTATAGCATTTGAAAATACCTAGTTAGAAAATGAATAAAAATAAGGTACCTACCTATTGCAGCAGCGTAAACTCTGAAAGTAGGTATTTAACCTGATAAACTTGTGTAGTCATTCAATTATACTTACTTATCTCTTTTTACGTGCTTACTAGACATATTAATATACCTACCTACAGATATGACGACATAGTGTGACATAGGTGAGTACTCGCATAAGTATGTACCTATTGTATTTGAATGTGCTCTAAATACTTACGTGTTAGTAGAAGTTGTAAATTCAAATACTTAGCTCGTATATGATTTGTTTATCTGATAATAGTGTCGAGAATATAATTGGTTCAATCGAGTCACGCCACCACGCCACATTGCAAATGACGAATGCGAAACAACTTCAATGAACTAAGTAGTGGACTTTAGGCTGTCTCCGTCTGGCGTTGCTACCCGGGCCAAGGGGCTAGGGGTTAACGATGTTGATAACTGCTGAATCCTATTGGGTCAATAACTCATTCATGTGTTTAGTTGACGAGACATGTATTGCGCAGCGTCTTCGCGTAAAGTAAGTGAATTGCCTGCCTACCCACATAACGGGTCGACTACTTATTTGTTTGCTGATTTCTAAATCATGATAGCGACCTATTGGCTGAGTTTAGGGACTTGGTAGAGGTAGTTTTAATTTTAAATAATGAAATAAGAAAACAAAATCAAAGTTTATTTAAATTACATTAATAAATTAATCTTTTGCATCGGCAACTCCTCCGTTGGTTATGGCAAAAGTAGCTTCACTTTCAGGCAAATCTGGGGAGTCGTATATCTTAGCAATTCGGTTCTCTCCACGCCCTTTCCTCAAAGCTATTCTGGTTGTCGAAGCATGCGCAAGTATATTTCCGCCAATGGGTTTTTTTGGGTCAGCTTGAAAGGTCAGAGTCGCTCCAGGATCAGCCGTCATTTGATTTGTTATGAACACAGCAACGTTGTATTCTTCAGAGATCTGAGGAAAAAACGTTCTTATTTTAGAAAAATTGCATGGTGATTATGTCAGGTAGGTAAATGCTATTTAAGAGAACCTGATATTTAAAGAAGTAGTTTTTCCTGGTTGCCATCCATTTTGTCCATAATTAAGTACGATGGAACAAGCTAAATAAAATAAAACCGTATCTACACTTCTAGTAGTGTTCGGAAAGGTCAAAACCACTTAATTACCTATTTATGGAGGAGTAAAGTAATTATTAATCAATTTAAGAGTACCTAAATAATAATATGTATAACTTTTAGTAGTTTGTTATTTTGTAGTTCCCTAGTGAATATCATTATCTAGCGTCTCAGTCAGTCACCTCATGTGGGCTGACTTGTGTATATAGCCGGATGTTTCATAACTACTATCTCGTACCCAGTGATCTTGAACTCTCAAATCGACACGAAATGCAGCGCGGCAGCGTGGCCGCGTGGGTTCGATTTCGGCGTAAGCCTTATCGATGTTTTGTTTGAAGTATGCGGGACAGGCCATCTCAAAAAAAATGTACAAAGACAAGTGACAGTCAAAAAATTAAAAAACGGGAAAGAGACTGATACGATAAGAAAGGAGATTGACGGCCGAATACTGAAACACTACTCAAATCTGTCACTCAGCTGACGGGCTCCTAAATTTAAGTATCCTTCAATTTTAAATGGTATTCTCAAACGCTACTCAACGGATTTGAAGCCGTGATCAGCTAAGCAGCTCTCAAATGTTTACATAATGGCAACATTTACCAAAAAAAGTATGTTTTCATTTACACAAATGATAACTTTACGTCTTTTATCCATTACACGCAGCATCGTTTGGTTATGTATTGTCTTTTATGGAAATGTACTCAATCAACTTAACTTAGAACAGTTTATTTTTAGTTTTTATTATATATAAATTTCGTTTTATCATATAAAAATAATAATGCTTGCATTTTTATTTAATTAAAAAAATAATTTTAAATATGATACTTTTTATTGTTGAAATCTATTAAGTGGCGATCGTGGACCGAAACGTAACCACAATTGACATTTATCATTGTTGACTGACAGAGCATCAAATTGACAAATCAACAACTCTTGGAAATGCTGCTATGCGATGTCCCCTTAATCCTCAGAAATAGGCATGTTTATGTAAAGCGATTTCATAGCAGCTATTTTGGTTGTTACTTCGTGCACTATACGATGCACAGTTGGCTGTTAGATGTGGAAGATATCACCTAGTACACGTTCATAACTTCCCGTTGCGTAGAACAGTAGGGTTATAATAAGTATTTGGTCCACTGGTTGTATGGCATTTGGTGAGGGGTTTCAAAGAGCTTCCAAATTATGAATCCAGAAACAACACCGTTTCTTTAGAGACGCGGAACCTCGCTCGGAATTGCATGTCATTATAATAATATTTTTCAATAGCGTTCAGCCTTATTGCGTTCCTGCGAAGATCTAGCTAGGTATATCCTCGAGGCTCGAAAGAAATGATAACGATGACACACATTATTTACCACTATTTAGGTCGTTTTAGGTATAACAATAGGATTTAAGATACCGCGCAAGCACTCTCAAATTTAACAGCTGCTTAACGGCCGAATACTGAAACGCCATTTAAATATTTGACGGCTTCTCAAATAGTTAAGCAGCTCCTAAACTTACATTTCGCATACTCAAAACAATATCTGAGCAGTTCTCAATTTTTAAGCACCTCTCAAATTAAGTTGCACTCAAACGCCACTTAAATGAATTTTCGCATACTGAAACGCCATTCAACGCTAAGCATTACTCAAACAACTGTCAAATCAACTTAACATAGAACAGTTTATTTTTAGTTTCTATTATATATAAATCTCGTTTTATCATATAAAAATAATAATGCTTGCATTTTTATTTAATTAAAAAAATAATTTTAAATATGATACTTTTTATTGTTCTACTTCCTGCAAAATGATTACAATAAGCATTCTGGCCATCAAAATTCTATGGCATTAATGGATTTTTAAATGAAATGGTTCTATATTGGCTCACATAAAATTCTAAATCCTATTCTTTGTCTTACTACCGATTTGTGTTCATAATAATCTATCTTCATAATTTTGTTTTTCATACTTTTTTTATTCATACATTTTTATTACTACCATCGGAGCTCATAACAGTTAGTAATCATATTTTTTTTATCAATACTGTTACTACCAAGAACCATTTAAAATACATAATTTTTATTTTCAGATCTTTTTTCATTCATTGATCATATTGTTTTAATTAATAATGTTGTTACTAAGAACATACTTCAACTCATAATGTTGTTGTTCAGAATATTTTACTTTATAACAGACATACTCGTATCTTTAAAAAAATCATATATAATTTAATAGAGTAGTATAAGCATGCAGAGCATGCAGCATGCATTGGTATCTCCTCGTCTTCGGCTTTTTGGATCGCCATCGGCGCCTTCGGCGCCTCGGCGACCAGCCTCAGCCGCTCCAGCTCACCGCCCTCCCTCCGCGCCTCCGGCTTTTAAATTACACTCTAGGGGTAGGGCAGACAAGACTACGTGGAGTCGGTTTTGCAGCGATTCGTTTCTGTCACGTTAGTTTTGTGGCACAAAATATTGCCTGTTTTGGACCATTTCAAATTAATTTAATGTTAAAATACGATTTAATACGAATATAGACATCATGATTTTCAATAATATGGATAAATACACTTATGAGTAGTAAATTTATGAAAACAAGTATTAGGACACATCACATTTATGAATATTATAGTTATTTATTCGAATGATTATGAGTTTCGATCATTAGTATAGAAAAATATATGAAAACAAATATTAGTAAAAACTAAGTGTATGATTAGTAATATTATGAATATCAATGATTATGTTTTTAAATATGTAGGTTTTAAATTTTTTATGAAGAATGATCATTATGGTATCAAATTGTATGAGAAATATTTTCGGACCTCCAATGATAGGAATAGAAAAGTTATGTAAGAAAATGCGCTACCAAATGAAATAGCCAGATTTTTTTTGTAAGTCAAACAATTAATGTTTACGAGCGATTCGTTACCTAAAATAACTTTATAAGTAGGTATACTATTTTTGAATCGGTTCGTTATTCTACTGAATGTGCGTTTTACGGCTGAAAATGTTTAGCATGCCTTCTCAGTTCAGAGTATTAGGAATTAAAACTCCAGAATTTAAGGTGGGTTATTTCGTAGGTACGTAAGCCAAACTAAACTGAAAATTAAGCAAATACTTATGCTTATTAAATATTATTAAAGATAATAGCATAAACAGATGGAAGAATTAGCAACCTACCTTCTGCAGCCTAGACAGAACTTGAGCCAGCTTCTGCTGTCTGTCAGCGAGCTCACCTCGGCCCGAGAAGTCAACCCTGAAGAGAGCCATGACGGAGTCGATGATGAGCAGTTTGAACACTCCTGCTTCTTCGTGGAACTTCGCTGCTACATAGTCTAAAAGTTCTGCCTAGAAATCAATATACCAAGAATTCATAAGCAGGTAGAACCTTTAGCTTTCGCCTCCGTGGGTGTCAATAAATAGCCCTGCTAGTATGTGGGATTGTGGGTTGAGTATGTGATGAACTATATTAAGTGCTATAAGTATAATGGGTGTTTCAATACAGAAATAGAAAACATTTCTTATAATAACAGAAGTCAAGAAGATTGTTGTTATCGCTAATAAGTTCCAAAACAATTAACTAATTAGTTTAAGTACTTCAAAGTGGACCTTCGCTTATACGATAATTTATATTACTTAACGAGTACTTAGGTGCCTATCTGCGCTTTAAAATAAAATATTTAAGACGCAGAATCATCTGTAATGTACAGAACCATTGCGTGTCACGAATTTATAATCGTTTTGCTGCTTTACATAAGTACTCGGATTCATCTGGGGGCACGGCAGTGCCCCCGCCAAGTCGAGCGCGAAGCAAACACTGCCGTACCATCCTTTACTGGAACCATTTCGCCGCATTTTCAGGCCCCTATTTGAGAACCTCTGGATAAGACCAGAACGCAGAAATTTTCGTCATCTAGTAAGCTATAATCACATACTTAAAATCCAAAATTTCAAGTCTGTAGGTCATTTAGTTCCGAAGATAAGCGAAAGCAAAGTTTCGCATTTACGACACTCACTCACTCACTCACTCACTGGATGATCATCAAAATAGAACTAGTACTTCCCATAAACTCAGAGAGCTGAAATTTGGTACAGAGTTAGGGTTTAATGGCCACATAAAGGGAAAACTATAAAAACTAGGAAAATCGAAGATCTGGAGTAACACCACATTCATAATCAATACTACTCCGGCACCGTGGTGTTCGCCTGTATCGCTCACCGCTAGATGGCGCTAGCACTAGCAAGCGGTGTCCAGATTTTTTTCCTTTCTAGAGAAAGTCGTCGATTAAGTTGAATGTTGTGTAATTTGCATTTCGTTGATTTCGTTTATTATACTGTAAGGTTCGCTTAGGTTATGTTATAATTAAAAACAATCTGATTCGTTGTCCATTTTAAAGGTCGTTGAGTTTATTTGTGTTTAATATCGTAAAAAAATGTTGATAAACGACGACGTTAAATAATTTTGCCACGTTCCACAAAAAGAAGTGAAATCCCACCAAAAACATTCTGTAAAAAACTAGCCAAGTCTCGATGGAGCTGCTTGTTTATCTCTAAAAAGTAATGAAATCTAGACAAAGTCGTGCCAAGTCTATGGTTCCTTACTGCGATTTCTTTATTATTATAGTTAATGTTGTGTGACTTGGCCGTTGAACAATCTTTATTAAGATAATCATACATAAGTATTATTGAAATACGCAGCTTTATTAAGCCTACAATTGACTGGTTATTGTTGAATCAACGTTTTCCAAGTGGCAATTTTCCATCGTCAATGGGTAGCGGTTCTGGCGACAGATTGGTGCAATGGTGTCATGGAGCACCTGGTTTTGTCACCCTTCAACGGCCAAGTCACACAACATTAACTATAATAATAAAGAAATCGCAGTAAGGAACCATAGACTTGGCACGACTTTGTCTAGATTTCATTACTTTTTAGAGATAAACAAGCAGCTCCATCGAGACTTGGCTAGTTTTTTACAGAATGTTTTTGGTGGGATTAAATTTACTCAATGGCGTATTGCGCGTACCTAGTAGAACAAGTTTGATTTTTAACTAGCTTTAAATAGGTACATTGTTGATGGTTATACGGAAGTCAACGGACACTGGGTCCGTCACGGTATTGGTGCTTTAATTATAGGTCTGATAGTTGATACACAAAGTAGGTCAGCCTTTACGCAACACGAACTTTGAATTATAGTCCTTGGATTCAAGAACAGTTATCTTGGGTGATGTTTTTTATTTACTTTTCACTTTGGAATCCCAACTAATATTATAAATGCGAAAGTAACTCTGTCTGTCTGTCTGTCTGTCTGTCTGTTACGCTTTCCCGCTTAAACCTCGCAACCGATTTTGATGAAATTTGGCATAGAGATAGTTGGAGTCCCGGGAAAGAACATAGGATAGTTTTTATCCCGGTTTTTGAAACAGGGACGCGCGCGATAAAGTTTTTCTGTGACAGACAAAATTCCACGCGGGCGAAGCCGCGGGCGGAAAGCTAGTATTATTATAAAGTTTTGTGATTGGTGTATAAAACACATTATAATTATAAAGATTTTTTGGGAACCGGCGCCGGCAGCGGAGGCACTACTTAATGCAGGATTGAAAGTAACGATTAACTTACAGTAAGCGCCATCTATATTTAGTATGTAAAACTAATGGCACCTGTCGTCAATAGCTGCCTGGCGTGATCGATGGGTTAAGTATCGAAAAAATCTCAGTCGTTTACTCGGCATTCCGAAAAATATCAATTAATTCATTAATTTACCTGGTGCTCAGAAGTGTAGGCTCTAGCGTAGAGTACGTTATCCAAAACAGCATTCTGGTCCAAGTTAAATCTGTCGGCAATCGGTCTCAATCTGTCTGGTCGGCTGATTACGGTGTTAAGGAAATTATCGATATCTCTAATTTGACACAACTCAGAAATCAGTTCTATCTTTGGTTCGTATCAAGAATTGTATGTGTATGTATATATTATATGTTATATGTTATATGTATGTATATATTAATATATTTTATGTTATTTGTATGTATTATTTTGGGTTAAATTTTACACTTTTGTTTATTATTATTTATTTCATTAGTGTCGACACCGCCTTCCCCTTCATCTGTTTTAAGTAACTGTCCTCTCTATAGGTTGTCTGGAAGAGATCGCTTCATAGCGATAAGACCGCCTAATTGTACCTTATGTGTTCCTTTTCTTTCTGTTTCTTTTTACAATGTGGTGTGCAATAAAGAGTAAAAAAAAAAATCGAACCCGTAACTCAATGCTCTCGGGTAGCAAACCGCTCCATTACGTAGTCTCATAGTTCCCCGGAAAATCTTGTAGCGTAGGTATTTGTTTACTCTGTTTTGTATCCAAAATTTGTTTATTATAACAAATGACGAAGACGAAGCAAATGGTTAGTCGGGAAGGAAATATTTGCGATAAATAAACCCATGATAAAGTGGGTTCTTGGATGACTCAACAAAACAATAAAAACTATTGTTTTCAACGCCATTGAGCTCGATCCTTGGCTAAGTATTCGTTTTCTATTCGTTGCCAGCCACCTTGGTCATATTATCGTCGCCCCATCTTGTTGGAGCGGGTCCAGCCCCCATTAGCTGTGAAGAAAGTTCCTTACTTCGAGTTCATTACGCATAAATGACGATAGATACGAAATGAACAATGCCCGAATACCTAAGAAATTACGAGTTTTCGGTGTAAGTAGGTATGGTTAAAATTAAGGTAAAAATTATGTATCATGAATTCGATTTTGTATCTAGACTTTTATAAAAGGATACAAAGTGTGTTCTGTATCGAGAAACATGACTTTTCCTCCGTGGTAGCCGGAGGAATTTGGTATTTGTGTAGTAACGCACAATGTGTGAGAAATCTGGGTTTTCCCTGTCCGAAATTCACCAAATACTTCAGTGATCGCCATTGATTCGATGCCACCAGCTAGTAGTCTACTGTAAGATCAATGAGCACTTTATGTAACATGCTAGTAGTTGCATTCATGGCCTGTAATTGAAAGTCGCGAGATCCATATTGCTAGTAAGCAATGAAGGGAAGTTACTACTTACTCTAATTCGTTGCTTCCAGTACTTATTTTGAATACTTGTTTTCTTCGGTCACTTACTTCTAGAGCAGTCATGAAACCTAAAGCAGCAACTTTTTGACACGCCTCTTTTATTTTTTCTACTTTTGTTTCAGAAAAACCTTTAATATTATTTAATTTTTTCTTCGTGGACATTTGGATACCTTTGATGGTACATATTCCTGCAGCTTTTAATTTTTTTATGTCCGCAACGTTTATGCCATGTTTTTGTAAAATATCAACATCTTGAAAGAAACTTTCCTCTTCGTCGTTTTCCGAAACATTATCATCTAAAGCTTGTTCAAGCATAATGCTTACGAATTTTATTATAACACTACGTAACTACTAGTAGTTTTTAGTATAAATCGCGAATCAAATTAAAAGTTTCCTACGATCAATTTTAAAAAATTGGGCGGCAAAGTTTTTTTTTTTAAATAATTTTAGGCTTGAATAAAAGATACAGCCAGATGCGCTGATTAAGGTCTGCTCTCACTGCGTTCCTCTATTAGATAGTTTTACAAATTTTAGCACTTTACCTTCGGACTCTTTCGGATTAATTGCAAGAAACACAGTATTTTTATGAAGATACTTTTATTAACAAATTACTAGGGGACAGAAAGACAAAAAATGAAAGTAGATAGTATACAGAGCAGTGCACGTAAACCTTTATTATAAGGTTATAAAATTTCTTTTGCCTTGGGTTACTTTAAAAAAAACTAAGTAGCCAATATTTGTCTATGATTTTAGGGATGTTGTGTGCTCATGTATATTGAGTTAATTGAATGTTCAATTGACCAATTATTAAATAATATAATTTATTGGAATAATTGAGAATGTTACTAGGTATGCAAAATCACTTGAAACCTATGTTACAGTTAAGCTTTTACATTTACAAATACATTAGTTTTTATTTCATTCAAAAATACCCAGTAGTTATGATTTTATAGGCATTCAAAGTTCGCTTAAATATTGAGTCCCGCCGACGGTCACGTGACCCCGTGTGACGTACATTCACAGCGTCCGCTCACTAGAAAACGGATAAAAACATACTTAAATATTTTTTTTTTGTAAATACAAACTAATTATACATATTAACACCCAGACCCATCACAGAAATTAAAATTGAACCAAACCCAAACTTTTTTTTTATTTATTTATTTTTATTTATTTATTTATTTTAATTACACAGGTTTATACCTTATTACGTAATTAAATAGTTAGGTAACAACAAACATAATAACAACACCTTAAAGATTAAAGAGAACACTGCTCACAAAAGGATTGGCAAGTTGACAATATTAATTATGCCAAGGGTCCGCAAATATGTCACGATGAGGGTAGTCATCCAGGAGTGCATTGAGGGCGGTGTGCATTCGGCAGAGTGGGGACTCAGCGTGCGCTACCGTGCGGCTTGGTGGCCGGGCGAACAGCTTGTGCCGACGACAGGCGCGATGCCTGGTGTAATTATTGGGCACGAATAAACACGATAATTGTTCTAGGAGCTCGGGACATTGAGTATGGCCACGCAGTATTTTTAATGCCGTGATCATCTGGTCTTTTTGACGCCTAACCTCCAACGAGCACATGCCCAGCATACCAAGTAAAAACTTCGTAGGATATAAAAATGGATAATATCCAAAAGTTCTCTTATAAAGATATCGTAAAAAGGCCTTCTGAACCTTCTCTAGCATTAGCTTGTACTTGGCCTCATGCGGATTCCATACACATGCGCTGGTCTCTAGTTTACTTCTCACCAGCGTTGAGAAAAGTAGTTTCATAACTTGTGGGTTGCTGAGATCGCGCATGTTGCGGAGTAAGAAACCCAAGCGACAGAAAGCATTCCTGGACAAATCGGAGATGTGCTCGTTGAAGGTCAGGGCCGGGTCAAAGATAACACCAAGGTCTTTCATTGTTGAGGTGCGAGTGATACTACCTTCGCCTAATTTATACTCGTAGTGAGTTAGCTGACGATTTCGCCCAAATGACATTACGTAGCATTTGGTAAGATTAAGTTCCATCTTATTCTGTTTGCTCCATTCGTGATGAACTTGATGCGATTGTGTCGTTTTATTGCGAATTACCTTCCAGCTCCATCATTAGACCCCGATTACTATATAGAATTAAAATACTCATCAATACAAAACGAACGAGCCCAAACTCGATGCATTTAAGTCGTTTTATTATAGAGTTCCTATGGCCACCTTCCAGCTCCATCATCAGATCAGCTTCATGTCATCATAATATTGCATGGTCATCCAAATCACATGTGTTTGCGAAATTTCAGCTTAATCGGTTGCCTGGAAGTGGGTCTTAATTCAGTTTGCAAGATTCCACCCATACAAATAAGAGCCAGTCGTTGTAATTTATATGACGTCACGCGCATAAAATGGCGGGCCGGCCGCCGCCCGCACTTTTAAAATTCAATATCTTGGAAACTAATTAACGTATCGAAATAATTCTTTCACGTGTATTTTTTATTTTTAACAGAGAACACAGAAAGCTAAAAAACAAAATAAGTGAACATTCTTCATTGCAGAAGTTTAAAACTTTTGATTTTTAATTATCAATAAATGGTTAAACAACAATGAAAAAAATATTTATTTATTTCATTATTAACAATCATTTTTCCATTATTTCAGTGGGTCTAGACAAAGTGCACATTATAATCGCAAACTAGCCAAAAAATGGTTGAAAAGCCTTTTTTTGTATGGAGTTTTTGTAAGTTGAATTGTTTCGATGTGTGATCGTTCTGCAACCCTTGACAAGTGGCTAAACGTAATTTTTTGGTAATTTCAAAATGGTACCTTTTGCGCTTTGTTGCACCTGCACCACTAAATTAATGTTAATGTTGTCTAAGAAAATTAAACTTTGAATTTTATAATCTTATTATATTTTTCATTAGAATCTCATCACAATAGTCAGCGCAGTTCAGGAAGAAGTTTAAACGGAATGCAGATTAATGTCAAGATCCAAACAGTAGAATGTCATTATTATGCCAATTTGTTGGTATAAAAATCCACAAAACAACTCAAGAGCACAATGGAAAAATATAAATAGGTGACGTGGCAATGTTCCTTACCAAACACCTCAATAAAAAATACAGATGATTTTAAAAGTAATTTATTAAATTACAGCAGAATGTACGAAGCTGATGCGGACCGCTAGTAATGGCTAGTAATGATTAAACGAGCTACTAGAAATTGAACAGAGCTCAACTTCAATTGAATGAAATATAGACATCCCTATGTGTAAACTTTTGACGGCTCCTCCCTTCTTTTTTTTGATGCGCGTACTCTTTAGTTTATGGAATTTGATGACTTCGCTTCGATGAGAAAAGCTCTCTTGCGGCGCATTTTTAAGGATTTTTTTGTTAATTATTTGAATCAGCAAGAAAGTTACCGTCTAATCCATCTCGTTTAAGGTAAGGGCGTAAGTTAACCCTCCGGAAGTACTGGAAAGTGATTATTTATTATGTTCATATATTTCCTTCTGTATCACAGCCATGTTGAAGTAGTGTTGATTTTACTAAGTTTTCGTCAGTTATCGTTGTAAGAAGTTGTTCACAAGTAAATGTGACAGACCCAAGTTTCGTTTGTGTTGTGATTATAAAGTTGAAAAGTCTTTGCAATATGAAAAGTGTTCTAAAGTGCCACCGATTCTGGCGTCGAGGCGTCATCTGCAAGGTAAGGCTGGATGTCTTCAATATACATCTGAACGTAGCAATAAATCAGAGACTTCGTTCACATCAAACAATTTGCCTAATAATTTTTAAAAACATTGATCAATAATGTCCAATTTTGATCCAGGTAACATGCAGTGATTTTCCCAGATCATTTGCATAATTATTTGCGTTTATTACACCAGGTCTATGCAGTAAAAGTTGTACTTTGTTATTAATTTATAAGTTTTTTCATAATAAATTGTAATTTCATTGAATGTAAAACTACAGCAATGAAATTCACGTAAAATAAAAAAAAAATTTTAGATTTATTAATTCCTTGTATTTACATGCTTAATTTTTTGTATGATTTCAATTTAGATAACAATGTTAAACTTGCTTTTTTCTGAGAAAGTTTGTGTGCATTTATCTACTAACAAAAATGTATTCAGGTGATTGAAACTGATTTTGCAATTAAATACCCCATTTTAGAGACTATTTGGCACAAAAATATTCTATTTTATTAACTTGAGGATTTGTTAGTTGAAGCATTAAAATTTTCAGATGTAACAGATTTGTGTTATGTGAAGTTAGATTATATGACATGGAAGTCTTCTTTGTTCACAATCAATTATTTCTTTTTTTGCTAAGTCTCTGTATTGGTGTCTCAAAGTGCAAGTGTAAAAAATGTAAAACAATAAAATTAAATATGCTTCGGGTTGGGTGTTAAACAATTATTAACAACCATCATCATGCAATCATGTCTGATTTCAGGAATGGATTCTGAAGACTCTCGAGATGGTAGTGGGGAAGCCCAATCATCTTCGAGTAGTAGCAGTTCCAGTTCAAGAAGTAGACGAAGTTCTTCTTCAGATAGAAGTGAAAGCTCTAAAAAAGGCCCAAAGTCACCTCCCAAATCGCCACCATCGCCGAGATCTAATGGCCCCCGCTCTCCTTCCCCAGAAAGTAGATCGCCATCACCATCTATGCGATCCACGTCCAAACCACCGCAATCTCCCGGCAACTTGAGCGGTGCTCATTCAGACATTAACTCCCCTGAGAATTCCATGCCAGCTTCGCCACCTGCCCCAAAATCTCCTGATGCTCCAAAATCCCCAAGTGACGTAGGTTCAAATATTGGCTCACCGGAGAGGCCTCATGACTACACATCTCCTCCTCCAACTGGTGGAGGCCCCAAATCTCCTCGCAGCCCTGCCAGTTCTGCCCCTGGCTCACCTGTCAATACGTCCCGTCCTGTATCCCCTGATTCTGTATCACAACCCACACAGCCTTTAAGGAAGAGAGAGCCTCGGACACCATCATCTAGTCCATCACCAGATAGGTCATCGGTGAGATCATCACCTCGTAGATCTCCGGTAGCGAATAAAAATGCCTGGAGTCCAAAAGATAAATGGAGGAGGCATACCAAAGCAGAGCAGAAGATGGTTTCGATGCCTAGGGCACGTAGTAGGTCAGAATCAAGTCAATCAAGTAGGAGTTCTTCGTACAACAAGCGTGCTAATACAAAGGATCCTGCTACTGAAGAAATTTCTGATGGTGAGAAAGTAATGTTATATTGCAGAAAGATGAGCAATGAAATATATTTTTTTAAAACATTAAATGCATCAATTTATTTTTAGGTGAGATGGAATCTGATCAAGATGACAGAAAATCTCAGAGTAAATCAGTTGCAAGTGAAAAGAATGAGGGGAAGGATCTTAATATTAGTCATGAGGACCTCTCTGATGTATCAGATTTGGATTCTGTAGGACCAGACGATTCAGAAAAGGAACCAAAGGTGAGACTTAACATCTTATCCAATGCTTCAATGCATGTAGATCTGTTGATGACCTGTCATTGGCCTTTGATCGGGTATATTAGGCATATTATGTACTTATTTTGTAATTGTTACTTAATTTTATTTATTTTCTTTCTGTTACAGCGAAAATTACCTCAATCATCACCTGAAAGAAAGTCAGATAGTAGAAATATCAATGGAAATGCAAACAATAAAACCAGTACACAATCATCTCCTAAATCTGATAGTGGGAGTGTAAAACTGGATCATCCAAAACTGGAAAAAGTAAGCAAATTAATTTAATTATGCAACTAACAGGACATCTTAGCCTTTTCACAAAAGAAAATTTTTGAAACGACTAGTTTTTTTTATAAATTTCCTAATTAGTGATCAAATAAAACTAGTTTGAAACCATGATGTAAACAGAAGCACCCCTTATGTAATTTCTAAAACTTCACTAAGTTACTTGCTTCATTTGGTCCTTCAGTGTCTGGTATAGTAAAGTGTATCATTTTAGAAATATTATTTTCGAATTAGGTGCCTCAAGAAAAAACAAGTAATACAGAAGATGGGGAAGAACAACTAGACTTTGAAGCAGAGGAAGGAGAATGTATAGAGCCCAAACAGAATGAGCAGCCAAATGGAGATGCAAGTGCTAAAGGATCTGAAAGAGGTATCATGGGTTTCTTTCTAACGCCCGTATTCACGAACGATGCTTGCCTAAGTGAAGCAGCAAAGCAAACGCATAGCGTTGAATAGAGCTCTGTGATTGGTTCATGTGTCAACCTTTGCGTCCACGCGCACTGTGAGACCTCATAGTAATGTTTGTGAATATGGGCGTAAATGTTCCATTAAGTGTGACTCTAGTGAGAGAAAAATCGTGCTAGGTCTTATTACGAGGGCTGCACTAAAAGTATCGGGAATGGAATATTTCCACTGTTCCTGTCATATTAAAATCTATTTAATTGCAAACTCCAGGGTTTTTAAAATCGTATACCATTTATTTATTTAAAAAAAGATTCTCGGTCGTATCACAAGGTCTTGTCAAACTTGTTTACTCGTTGAGAAAATGGAATTGACTCAAGAAAATTCAAGAGCGATGATTTATTATGACTTTTGAAGTGGTTTAACACAAAAACAGTGTGTTGACCGGATGATTTCTGCATTTGGTAATGAAGCCCCATCCAAAACCACAATTTATCGCTGGTTTCCTGAATTTCAACGTGGACGTGTCAAGCTCAGTGATGATCCCCGTCAAGGTCGTCCAAAAACTGCAGTCACCTAAGAAAACGTTGATGCTGTGCGTAAGCTGATTGAAGAAGATCGACATGTGATATACCGCGAAATTCAGGCAACTTTAGACATTGGCATGAGTCAAATACAAATAATCTTGCATGAACAATTAGGTGTAAAAAAGTTGTTTTCCCGATGGATACCGCATTCGCTCTGTGAAGAGCAAAAAGCGGCTCGCGTTACTTGGTGCGTCAGAACTCTCGGGAGATTACATGCAGGATCCTCAAATGCTGTATACAACATCGTATCAGGTGACGAATCCTGGATATACGCGTACGAACCCGAAACAAAAAACCAGTCACGAGTTTGGGTGTTCGAAAATGAGTTAAAGCCAACAAAAATTGTTCGTTCACGGAGTGTTGCAAAAAAAATGGTGGCCACGTTTGTCTCCAAAACCGGCCATGTTGCGACTATTCCTCTTGGGGGACAAAGAACGGTTAATGCAGAATGGTATGCTATCATTTGTTTGCCACAGGTCGTTTCTGAACTCCGTAAAGAGAACTGCAACCGCCGCATCATCCTCCATCACGACAATGCGAGTTCTCACACCGCGCACTGAACAAAAGAGTTTTTAGAGCAAGAAAACATAGAATTATTAGTCCATCCGCCGTACAGCCCCGACCTAAGCCCTAATGATTTCTATACTTTCCCTAAAATAAAGAATAAATTGCGTGGTCAGAGATTTTCATCACCTGAAGAAGCTGTGGACGCCTACAAAACGGTCATTTTGGAGACCCAAACTTCCGAATGCAATGGTTGCTTCAATGATTGGTTTCGTGTATGGAAAAAATGTGTCAAATTTCGCGGAGAATACTTTAAAAAGCAATAAATACATTTTTAAATAGTAATGTTGTTTCACTTCCTTGATTCCCGAAATTTTCAGTGCCGCCCTCGTAGATAGACTTTTTATGAGCTGTCAACAAAACATGGTTTTTCCATTGATTTTATAAGGCAGGCTATAACGCCATATTTTCACTACTCAGTTGACTATTTATTGATTTCAATGGTTACTTAAAAAACTAATTTTCCTTGTACCTATTTTTGAGAAATTGTACCTTGGTTTATGGTGTCAAGTTCAACTACTCAATTACTTACAGAAGAAATAAAAGCCGGGCGCAGATCGCGCGGCTCCTCGCTGGAAGAGGGCGAAGTCTCGGACGAGGCGGAGCGGCGCCCCGAGGAGAGCGAGCCGCGCCCCGTGTGCCGATTCTTCTCAAGGGGCGCCTGCACTTGGGGCGTTAGCTGCAGGTAATAATTAGGGATTGCAATTGCTGGATCCAGCATACAGCAATCCAGCTGGATCCAGCGCCTTTTTAAACATGCTGGATCCATCATACAGTGCTGGATCCAGCGATGCGGATCCGCAAACGTATAATTTTCTATTGCTTAGTTTCGAATTGCCGCCATTTTCAAAACGGCGCCGCGGCGCGGTGACGTTGCCGTTCTGTTGTTTTGTGCGTTGAACAGCGCCTCTCCGAAATTACTGGTACTTTAGTGTGATTGAAAAATCCAAAAAAGTATGAAGAAGCAGTAAAAAAACTGTCTATTTTCCTTGGCCAAAAAAGAATGCGATATGGCAGGAGATGAAGACTTTGTTAAAACGAGTAAATAAACAAAATGTGCAAGAAGATAAAGATATCATGGAGTTAGAAGAGAATGGTCTAAATGATGTCGCAGAACCCGTTAAAATGACTTCAGGGCAAGAGCTTGAGATGGAACTTAAAAGAGAGAAGGAGAACTTTAATAAACAAAAGCCAAAGCCAAGTGGTCACGAAAAGGTACTGAAAAAAGAAATGAGTGTATATGAGACCGAACGAGTGCGAGGTTAACATTTATCTATGGTGTATGACTATTTCTTCTTCTTCTTCTTATTCGTTATGCTCTTGGCAGAGCGGTCGTGGTCATTCTACCTACTATTCACTATTTAATGATCCTAGAACCGACCAGTGTGGAAACCGAAAGCGCATTCTCAGTAATGAATCGCAAAATGTGTTGGTAAGCGCAGACCTCAACAACGCCTGGACCAATTTATTTAAATGTTCGTTGAAGTCCAAGGATGATTTTTACGGCGAGAAAAATTCGAACAATGTCTGGGAAAACCCTAAAAACAGCCCTTTTTTCCCGCGGGCGAAGCCGTGGGCGGAAAACTAGTTACTTAATAAAAAAAGTCTTAAAAATGTCGTCTTTTTATTTGCGTTCCACATTTTGCTGGATCCGCGCTGGATCCAGCTGGATTCAGGTCAATCCAGCAAGAATCCAGCTGGATTGAAAACGCCGCTGGATTGCAATCCCTAGTAATAATACCATAGCGTTTGGTTAGAATACAGCCGGGTGCAGATCAAGCTCCTCGCTAGAAGAGGGCGAAGTCTCGGACGAGGCGGAGCGGCGCCCCGAGGAGAGCGAGCCGCGCCCCGTGTGCCGATTCTTCTCAAGGGGCGCCTGTACTTGGGGCGTTAGCTGCAGGTAATAATACCATAGCGTTTGGTTAGAATACAGCCGGGTGCAGATCAAGCTCCTCGCTAGAAGAGGGCGAAGTCTCGGACGAGGCGGAGCGGCGCTCCGAGGAGAGCGAGCCGCGCCCCGTGTGCCGATTCTTCTCAAGGGGCGCCTGCACTTGGGGCGTCAGCTGCAGGTAATAACATCCATAGCGTAAGGTTAGAATCAGATTAAGCTCCTCGCTAGAAGAGGGTGAAGTCTCGGACGAGGCGGAGCGCCGCCCCGAGGAGAGCGAGCCGCGCCCCGTGTGCCGATTCTTCTCAAGGGGCGCCTGTACTGCGTTTGGTTACCAATTACCATACGTCATACTATACCTCAATTATTACACACTGGACAGGCTGTCTCGTACAAATGACAGCTAATTTTGAGTGACAATTTGAAGCGCGACTACGAGTGTCCCGAGAGCTAATTTTGACGTACATTATATGGAGTAACCATAGGAGTAAGCGAGAAAGAAAATCACTAATTTTAGTTCCATGGACACTCGTATCTGCCTACAGTATGGCCTACAACACCAAAAAGGCGAAAATCAAATAGGCACAAAATATTATAACAGCAGCCAGTCCAGTGTGTATAGAGGTCAGTGCCTGAAAACACATTTTACTTTGTGTATTTCATATCAATTTGAGTTTGAATTTCTATAATTAATCTATGTAGCTAGACCAAAATAGTGTATCTGAGAATGAGAAACGCATTGCTATGTGCTGTGTAAGCATAAAACTAAATATGCTACTAGTTTATCGACATCAATACGTGACCTTTTCTAATGAGTCTTTTTACCATTTCTTGATTTGAATTAAATATGTTAATTATAACTTACCACTCTTGATCGCGATTCTAGCATGACCTAAACCTACTAATTAGTGGTGTTCGGACACGTTTAGCTACTAAAATTACTCACCACTCGCCTAAATTACTCAATTGAAGCCCGGTCTGTGAGCACGTAGAATTTTGTCCAATGACCCTAAGCTACCCATCCTTATCGCTCGCGCGTAATTATCTGCGGGGACCGGTCGCACAGTCGCGACAGCAATATAATTACGCGCGAGCGATAAGGATGGGTAGTTAGGGGTCATTGGACAAAATTCTATCTGCTCACGGACCGGGCTTTAGTAGGAACCAAGTAGGTTGGCTATTCAGAACCATTTGACAACTAATTCAAATTCGAAGCTTATGATGTCATTCGTAAGGTTCCAAATGGTCTAGCGTTTACAACTATCATTTCTCCTCAGATTCCTCCACCCGGGCGTGACGGACAAAGGCAACTACAACATGTTCGACGTGGTCCGCGGCGTGCCGGCCAGCGGGCCCTACCCCGCCGCGCCGCCACGAGACGTGGCCCCGCCCGAGTCAGCCTGGGAGCGCGGCCTGCGGACAGCTAAAGAGGTATTTCTCTTTTCTTTTTTAAATATTTTTGGGCACGGATTAAAGAGGTCAACACACTGTGCGTTGTTGGCCATTATATGGCAGGGTCGCGTCGTGTCGCCCCGAGACGTCGCCTATCCCGAGTCCGCTTGGGAGCGCGGCCTGCGGACAGCTAAAGAGGTCACTGCACTACCATTTAATTAGTCACGTCATTAGCCTATCGATTAGAATACAGACGAGACCGTGAAATTGTGACGTCACAAGTCTTTTAAGATATCACAACTAAAAGTTGGTAACCAACATAATGTTTTTTAGAATGTGCTGTGCATAGGGTAGCTTGTACTAAATGGCAATGCCAGATTTTGTATGGAAAGTGGCGTCTTTTTTAATTCGCGCGGCCATCGACCAAACTTTGTTTTTTAATTACAAAGTAGTGTAATAAACTAAACTTACTATGGCATGTATACCTCTAAACTCAGTCTGAACTGAGTTACGAGCATTAGAAGTTTGATGATTTTCATACTAGATTTGCTTTTTGTGCGCAAGTTTTGTAAAAAATTGCAACAAAATATAGCGCTATTTTTTTATTGCGCTGATTCTGCTCCATACTGATGTCTGGAGCCTTTAATGGATGATATTGTTTGTTTACACATACAATCTCACTATTTTGTTGCAATTTCTTACAAAACTTTGCGCGCAAAAAGCAAATCTAGTATGAAAATCATCAAACTTATAATGCTCGTAACTCAGTTCAGACTGAGTTTAGAGGTATACAAGTCTTAGTAAGTTTGGTTTATTACACTATTTTGTAATCAAAAAACAAAGTTTGGTCGATGGCCGCGCGAAAAAAAAAAGACGCCAATTTCCGGCATTGTCTTTTAATTGAACTTATGTTTCCCCAACAGATGCTCCGGATAGCGAACAAGCGTAAAGAGCAAGACATGGACTTCGAGGAGAAGAAGCTCCATCTATCAGTGGGTGGCGTGGTGCATGACCCTGATGCGGAGCTGGCGTACGCAGCCGCCGCCGTGGGAGCCTCGCCGCCGCGTGCTCACGACGCCACGCATAGGGACCCTGATGTTTACAGGTAAACATTGGACCGTATTTTTGAACAATCGATTAATCGATTGAATAGATACACTATCGATCGCGCTGGATGCTGCATTCAGAGACCCTGATGTGTACTGTTGAGTGTCGCTAGCTGAATGTAGGAGCTGGTGTATGCCACTGCCGGCGTCCGTGCATCATCAAAAGTTACATCTATCCGTGGGTAACTCTTATTGATCTATAAAAGGTTACGCTAATAAGGTCCCCATGCCTCACACGGGGCTGGTGTATTGCGCCGCGGCGAGTGTAACATCAAAAGTGAAGAAACTCCATCTATTGACGCGGAGCTGGCTTACGCCGCCACCGCCGTGGGAGCCTCGCCGCCGCGTGCGCATGATGCCGCGCATAGGGACCCTGATGTTTACAGGTAAACGTTGGACCCTATTTTTGAACTCTCGATTAGTAATCGATACATTATCGGTGGCGCATGACACCGCGCTCAAATGCTGCTGGTGATTGCCCCTAGTTGACTGTAGGCCTATAGTTTGCGCTAGTGGGAACCCACGCCCCACGCAAGGCTGGTGTATGGCGCCGTTACTGTAAGTGGCATCAAAAGCTGAAGAAACTTCATCTATCCGTGGGCGTTGTGGTGCATGACCCCGACGAGGAGCTGGCTTACGCAGCCGCCGCCGCGTGCGCATGACGCCGCCCATCGGGATCCTGATGTGTACAGGTACGTAGCTAGCAATCAATATTGTCTTAGCAACCAATGCTATCGATTAATAATCGATACACTCGATCGTGCAGCACATCGCGGACAGGTTATCGGATACGAGCATGTATTGGTGCGTACTGCCAATTAAACCTAGGGCTATACGTTGCACTAATAGTTCCTCATGCCCCACGCGGGCTGGTGTATGCTCGTGAGTGCAACATCAATAGCTGAAGAAGCTCCATCTATCAGTGGGCGGCGTGGTGCATGACCCTGATGCGGAGCTGGCGTACGCAGCCGCCGCCGTGGGAGCCTCGCCGCCGCGTGCTCATGACGCCACGCATAGGGACCCTGATGTGTACAGGTAAACGTTGGACCCTATTTTTGAACTCTCGATTAGTAATCGATACATTATCGGTTGCGCATGACACCGCGCTCAAATGCTGCTGGTGATTGCCGCTAGTTGACTGTAGGCCTATAGTTTGCGCTATTGGGAACCTACGCCCCACGCAAGGCTGGTGTATGGCGCCGTTACTGTAAGTGGCATCAAAAGCTGAAGAAACTTCATCTATCCGTGGGTGTTGTGGTGCCTGACCCCGACGAGGAGCTGGCTTACGCAGCCGCCGCCGCATGCGCATGACGCCGCGCATAAAGACCGTGATGTGTACAGGTACGTAGCTAGCAATCGATATTGTATTAACAACCAATGCTATCGATTAATAATCGATACACTCGATCGTGCAGCACATCGCGGACAGGTTATCGGATACGAGCATGTATTGGTGCGTGCTGCCAATGAGGGTTTTCGCGAATGAATAATCCGCCAGATGGCAATACGTAGACGCGAGGTCCAAATGCTGCATGATTGGTTATTTTTGACATGACATTGACAAATATGTCAATATCCACCAATCTCGCAGCAGTCAGACCCCACATCCCGCCATCTAGCGGATCTTTCATTCGCGAAAACCCTCATTGAACCTAGGGCTATACGTTGCACTAATAGTTCCTCATGCGCCACGCGGGCTGGTGTATGCTCGTCTATTGCTCGTGCAACATCAAAGGCTGAAGAAGCTCCATCTATCAGTGGGCGGCGTGGTGCATGACCCTGATGCGGAGCTGGCGTACGCAGCCGCCGCCGTGGGAGCCTCGCCGCCGCGTGCTCACGACGCCGCGCATAGGGACCCTGATGTGTATAGGTAGGTGTAGGACCCTATTTTTGAACGATCGATTATTAATCGATTGAATGGATACACTATCGATCGCGCTGGATGCTGCATTCAGAGACCCTGATGTGTACTGGTGAGTGTCGCTAGCTGAATTTAGGAGCTGGTGTATGCCACTGCCGGCGTCCGCGCATCATCAAAAGTTACATCTATCCGTGGGTAACCCTTATTGATATATAAAAGGTTTCGCTAATAAGGTCCCCATGCCTCACACGGGTCTGGTGTAATGCGCCGCCGTGTGTAACATCAAAAGTTAAAGAAACTCCATCTATCCGTGGGCGGCGTTGTGCATGACCCCGACGCGGAGCTGGCTTACGCAGCCGCTGCCGCATGTGCATGACGCCGCGCATAGGGACCCTGATGTTTACAGGTACGTAGCTAGCAATCGATATTGTATTAGCAACCAATGCTATCGATTAATAATCGATACACTCGATCGTGCAGCACATCGCGGACAGGTTATCGGATACGAGCATGTATTGGTGCGTGCTGCCAGCTGAACCTAGGGCTATACGTTGCACTAATAGGGTCTCATGCCCCACGAGGGCTGGTGTATGCTCGTGAGTGCAACATCAATAGCTGAAGAAGCTCCATCTATCAGTGGGCGGCGTGGTGCATGACCCTGACGCGGAGCTGGCTTACGCAGCCGCTGCTGTGGGAGCCTCGCCGCCGCGTGCACATGAAGCCGCGCATAGGGACCCTGATGTGTATAGGTAGGTGTAGGACCCTATTTTTGAACGATCGATTTACTAATCGATTGAATGTATACACTATCGATCGCGCTAGATGCTGCATTCAGAGACCCTGATGTGTACTGTTGAGTGTCGCTAGCTGAATTTAGGAGCTGGTGTATGCCACTGCCGGCGTCCGCGCATCATCAAAAGTTACATCTACATATACGTGGGTAACCCTTATTGACCTACAATAGGTTACGCTAACACGGTCTCATGCCTCACACGGGGCTGGTGTATTGCGCCGCGGCGAGAGTAACATCAAAAGTAAAGAAACTCCATCTATTGACGCGGAGCTGGCTTACGCAGCCGCCGCCGTGGGAGCCTCGCCGCCGCGTGCTCACGACGCCGCGCATAGGGACCCTGATGTCTATAGGTACGTGCCTGCTGCTAAACGTAGGTATAGGCCTACGTTACCTATAGAAGTACCGCGTCAATAGCGTCACACGCCCCAAGCGGAACTGGTGTGGTGTACGCCGACGTCTCTGTGATTGCGTAGCCGCCGCGCGAACACGACGCTGCGCACGCGTCACATTGCTGAATGTAAGCTTTGTCACGCCACTAGGGACCCACGCCCCTACGCGAAGCTGGTCTATTCCGTTGGAAATATTGGGCCCCATTTTTTTTAAACTTCATTAATCGATACAATATCCAATCGCGCACGTGTACGCTTATGTATACAGCTCTACGTAGGCCTATACACGTCACGCCACTAGCAACCCACGTCAGAACCTAGCTAAAAGATGTGCCACTTGTGTAGAACCTTTGTTCAGGTCCGTTTTGATGACCTATAAGTAATGAATACAATTTTGAGGTTGCATACCAAACTCATTGGTCGCGCGCCTGGCCGGTTAGAAAATACTTTTTACTTTTTTGCGTTTTTTCATCGATTGTCACTTTTCTCTTTTGTCTTGAATTTTCTACCAAAACGAAATGTAATTTATTTTATTTGAAGCAATATAATTTTACATTTTACATATAACAAAGCCTTTCAATTAATAATTATCCCTCGTAGTGAAAGATGTAAAAATTCCGTTCATGGTCCTTCGAGCCGGATTGGCTTTGAAAGTGGTAGGGAAGTTTCGGTAGTCCATTGCGGAATACCGCCTGTACGTAATAACTGGATAGCAAGCTGCTATTTCGGAGTCCACACGGTAGTGGAAGGGTCCGGTCTCTGGATGGAGACTGGATAATAAGCGTACGGGAGGAGCAGTTAAGTCGTTGGCAGCGGTTGGCGGCAGCCAAGGAGCGCTAGGGAGCGCTAAATTCGAACGAGCAAAGCGAGCGTAAGAAAAGAAGTACGAGCCTAGCAGCTGATGGTGCACGTAATATCATCTTCAAGTGTGTGTTGTGAGAGTGCAATCGTGAGTAGTTTAAACATTATTTACTTATTGAAACGGAAAGAAGAAAGAAAATTAACTTTGAACATTTACTTTACTAACGTTGCATTTTTTCATGTGTACTTGTTTTTTGTTTTATTAACTGTGTATATTTTGCTGCTGTGCGTGTGTATTTTTGTATTTTTATTTTACTTGTTGTGTATTTTGTTGATTTATTTGTCAACTATGGAACCATTAGCTAAGGTTCAAGAGGCCACTAAGGCCGCAATCGAAAGAGCTTTTACTAATTTCAAAAAGTGTCCAAAAGATAGGTTAAGTCAAGCTTATCTTGAAACTAGGTTGGAGACATTAGAACAGCACTGGGCAGTCTTTTTTAAAACTCAACAAGAGATTGTCAGTAGCATTGACGAGGATGAACTGCAAGAGTCTGATTATTACAAAAACAATGTGTTTGACGAGGTAGAGGAATTATACATGGATTACAAGTCAAATATTAAGGAGAAATTAAACATGTTAGTTTCATTGCCAACTTTTAAATCACATAATAAATCAGCTCCACAAACAACGCAGTTCAAATTACCTGAAATAAAAATACCCACATTTTCAGGTAGGTACCTAGAGTGGCAAACTTTCAGAGATTTGTTCTTAGGACTGGTCCATAATAATAATACTTTAGATTCAGCACAGAAATTATACTACTTGAAAGCTTATCTTGTGGGAGATGCTGCACAACTCTTAAAAAATATTTCAGTTACAGCTGAAAACTACTTGAGCAGCTGGGAAAAGCTTGAGAGTATGTATAATAATAAAAAAAAGAAAAAGAAGGATTTATAGTCTAGATTTTTTTTTAATTACTCGCAATATTCAGGACATCTACATAACCCGTCCCATGGTCGGGTCTTTTACCTTAATAATTTCTCAAAACAAAATTGGTAGTACGTAAGTTAGTATCTAATGTACTTGCCACTTGGATACGTTGGTGATAAATACTAAAAAGAACTTTGAAACTCTGAATCCATAATACTTATTAT